TACAGGAATTGCAATCTCTTCGCTTACTTCGAGCGAGTTTAACTAGTTTGGACATCCTCATAAAGCAAATATTACAAGATTTGGAGACAATGACTAGGAATTATGAGATTATAAATGGTATTGTTATTTATTTAATATATTGCGAACAGTAAAGGCCAAATCATGTCTTAGATCTTTGACCCTTGAATTTTTGCATATTTAGCAACCTGTGAAGGATGGAAAGTTATTTTATCTAATGATATTTTAAAGGTCGATGTAACCGACAAAGGAAATGGAGGAACTGATAGTGATTATATGGAAATATCTTAGTCAATTACATTGATTTTGACTGTTTAGCTATGAGATTGAAGTAGAAATTCAAGAAGATATTTTACTTTAAAATTATTAATATGTGGAATAAATAGTTTTGCTGTAATTAAAAGACAAATTAATAATTATTAGATTATATGTTTTTACTATGTTTTTTCTCTAAATGTATTATTCTTGATTTTAACTAAGGTCAAATAATTGTATTTTTTTGCTTTTTTTACCTATGTAAAATACTTTTTAACATCTTTTGTATTAATAATTTTAATTATTATTTATAATTAATATGAAAATAAAATTATAATAATAAATATTTTATTATATTACTTTTTGCAATAAAATTTAACAATTAATATACAGTATAAAGAAACTTTTTTTGCTTTTCTTTAAATATACATCCTCTTTAAATGTACTTTTTATCAAGATTCCAAGTTGGGCCAATAATATTAAATACATCTTTTATATTCTAACATTATATTAAATTTTTAAAAATTTTTATATTTAAATTAGAATTCTTAATGGTATTATTTTAATATAAAATTGATATTGAATTTACTATAAGTTTAATATAGTAGGTTACAATCCATATATTAAATTATTATAAGCTGATTCTATTTCAGTATTAGTTTTAAATTAATTATATAAATGTATCTTATATAATTTTATAAGATATTTTCTTAATATTTATTAATTTTATTCAAATTGAATTAATATTTACTAAAAAAATTAGAATTATATAATAAATATATTATTATTTTTTAAATTATTGTTTGATTTGATTTTTTAACAATTATCAATTCAATTTTGATAAAATTTTTATATGTATTGAATAAATATTAGATATAGTATAGTTGCAAAACTTTTTGAAATTTTTTTTAAAATTTTTTAAATTTTAATTAATAGTAAATTAGAAAATAAAAAAATTTTTTTATAAAAAAGATATAATATTATTGTTATTATTAACCAATTTTTAGATTTATTTTATTTTTAATATTATAAAAAAATTATTTTAAAACTTAAATTTTAACAATTTACAAATTATAAATTATAAAAAATTTTTTTTAAAAAAATAAAATATCTATAAATTAAATTAATAAATTTTTAAATTTATTGTATTAAAATTTATAAAATTTTTATTTACAATCAATTTTTAATATTTAAAAAATTTAATTTCTAAAATATTTTTATACAAAATTTATATTATTATAATTCTTAGGTTTAAACTTTATTTTAATATATTTTTTATTAATATTTATATAGTAGTTTTTGAATAACAGATAAATAAAAAATTCTAAAAAGTTTTATAATATATTATATATAATATACAATATATATATTTAATTATAATTCAATAATTAATTAATTAAATTATACTGTATAAAACTTTATAAATAAGTTTTTTAATATCTTTTTTTTTTAAAGCTAAGTACATTATATACATATGTTTATTAACTTAATATTGAAGTTATAATTATTATATGAAAGATTTAACTAATTATTCTAATTAATCTAATCTTAACACTCACATTTTTTTTAACTTGTTTATATCAATTTATATCTCATTAATGAGTTCACATACTAGGCATGATCGATTCAAAAGGCATGTTCTATTAACTGTCACTAGAATCCTTATTATATTTTTCTTTTCAACCTATACTTTTTGTAATACTCTGGTTTTATTTCTTTATATTTTCTAGTAAATATTCCAAGAATTATTTCTATAATTGACATATACTATCAAACTTGGAGACCATCAGGTCTAATAAGACATGACTTTTAAATTTTCCAACAGACACTTCATAAAACCCATAGTTGATATTAGTTATTAAATATAGGAATACAAATACTAAGCAGAGTATAACTTCTGTAAAGTAGTCCAAGCAATACTTTATATAATTATGTTTATACAGTAATTTTCTTTAAAGTTATCTAATCAAGTTAATGAGTTTTCTTTTATAGTTTTGTAAACTATAGAAAAGGGAAACAGTCTATATGAAAATTGGAGATATACCAAATATAATATTGATCATTATAATACTAACCAGACAATCAATATGCCATAACACCTAAATTGAAAATCAAAATCTTAACATCCACTGCATCAGTATATAAATTGATTTTGCATAAAAAACAGTACATAATAGATTATGATATCAGATATTATATAGATTCTATTTAGTTACATTTACATAAAATTAAATCAGTATTTTGTAATCTGACTTGTGAAGCACCAACTACTATATTATAGATCCATAGGTCTTAAGTTTTTTAATATCTTAACAATAAGTTTATTATAAATTATATATATAAATATAATAATAATATTTTTTTTAATTTTTATTTTTAATATAATAAAAGTTGAAAAAAATTAAAAAATTTTAACTTTATTTAAATTTTAAATATTTTTATAATAATTTATAATTAATATCTTTATAATTAATAATCTAATTTGAATAAAAATTTTATTATTTAAAAACTTTTAATTAGAGAAATTGAATGATATAATTTTTATCTAAATTTAATTATTAGTTATAGATTTATAAATTATAAGTAATTTAAAATATATATAATATATAAGACCTGTGAGTCTATAGTGTAGTGGTTAACACTTCACAGGTCAAATCACAAGATATTAGTTCAACCTCATGTAAGGGCAATTGAATAGAATTAATATGATATCTAGTGCCATAACCTGTAAAAGTGTTGTTTCTCATAAGAAGCTATTTCACATATTGATCCAGTAGACATTGAGATTGTGATTTCCAGAAAAGGTATTGTGGTGCAAAGATCGTCTAGTTGATGTTATGATTATTGCCAGAAGTTGTAAGGTATATGAGATGTCTGCTTTCGACAAGTAGATTTAATGATTCTTCCCCTAATATCCAGTGTCTTTTACATAGATTCCTGTCCTAGTCCCATCCCAATCCAGTAATAAACTGGTCTGGTAGTATTTATCTCGAGAAGGCTTCTAATTATAAGTTCTGTTTTCTGCAATGTGTAAGTTGATGTTCAAATGATAAGCACCAGTTATAAGTTCCTTGAATGTTCTTGGGTATCATTGGACAGATAAGAAATTAAATGGTTAGCCCAGCTGCAGGTGGTGATAAAGGAATTTATCCTCAATGGAGCAAGCAGTGATTATGTAGCTTTATTCATTATAGATATTATCCCTAGTGTCCTCTTTCAACTTCTCTTTAATTTCTCTCCAGTTAGAAATAAAGTTGTCCAATTACTAGTGAAAATGTATGCTACTGATTTAACAAAGGATTATTTTTGTCCAGTAGATTAGCCTCTATACCTAATATAGTTAGGAACAAGTTATAACAAATGTCATTATTTGAAGCAATCCTGATAAATGTTGGGTATAACTAACAACTGATATGTTATAGCATAGTCCTAAATAGTAATGTCTAAAGATATATGTAAACATTATTATGAGAAATAAATATTTAGCCAGACAATTATTGCTGGTGCACTTTAAAAATATATATATATATATACTATATATATAATATATAAAAAACTTTTAGACCTGTGGGTTTATAGCACAGTGGTTAGTGCTCCACAGGTCAGATCTCAAGATAATGATTCGAATCCTTCAGGAAGCTAACGTGGATCCTCAAACCAGGAGGCAAAAGATTGGCATCTTCTGATCACTGTCACAAGATACCAAGTTCAGTTCCAGGTGAAGGTAACTGGACTGTCTCAAGATGATATCTGGCACCATAACCTAACATGCGCTGTTTCCTATAAGAAGCCAATTCACATGTTGATTCAACAGGCATTAGGATTGTGATATCAAGAAAGGCGTAACGGTGTAATGATCGTCTGGCAGTGTTACGATAATCATTGTCAAGTTTGATGCTTTCCCCAATACTCATGCATAAAGCACGCTTCCTTACCCCTATAGTTCACGAGACTATAAAAGAAAATCCCAATTTTTTAAAAGACCTAGCTAGAGCCACAAAGACTCCTTGTTGGATATGGCTAGTCCGCGGCTGACCGTTCTAGAATATAGTTCTTTGAGTTTCTATTCATCAGATGGTGAGTGGAACTGGAAAGCACACATCCTGGCACATTAGCACTTTACCTATGCTATCAGGGCCCTGGTACTGATAATATAGGAAGAATGGAGGGCAATAAGCTAACCAGTAGTTAGGAATAATCTTAGCTTAGGTAGCTTTATCAGGTAGACACAGTGGAAAAATTTGTATAAAACAGATTTGTATATGCTAATTCTATAAACCTAATAAAGCAAGATGTACGCCAGTCGTCGAAAAAAAAATATACTGTATATACAGTATACAGTGCCCCCCAATAAATAAAGGACCACTTAAAAATTATTAAAATTAATCGGAAATAGTTTCTATATTTCAAAC